ACACACACACACACACACACACACACGGAAACACACAGGAATGGACGAACACATCAGCACTTACATCACATCACATCACATCACATCATAAAATTTGCCCATGTATATATATCAAGCACCATTGGGACGAGTTTGGGCGCCACGACTCACCTGTTTACTCGTCTTCCCGGCTGGCAGCTGGTGGTCTCTCTCTCTCTCTCTCTCTCTCTCTCTCTCTCTCTCTCTCTCTCTCTCTCTCTCTCTCTCTCCCCCTTAGCGATACAATGCTACTGAGGGCACGCGTACATCGTCGGGAAGGTTTGTGTTGAACGACTGCTGGTCGTTGAAGTCGAGCCGCCACATGAGAGACCAGGCGGGAAGATGAGAGCGCCCATGAGAAACCGTCGGCGGACAACAAGCGTCGCCCTCCCACTGCCCTCCTCTTCGCCCCGCCGCTTCCGCCGCGCGCTCCGATCGCCTCCGCTCCTCTCTACGCTACTCCACTGCAGCGAGAACACTCTGGCGCTTTCTCACTTTCGCATTTCGACACTTTTCGGACTTTTCGGACTTTCGCACTTCCGCACTTTTCCGCAATTCCAGCCAATGTTATTTTTCACTTTTTTTCTCTTTATTTCCTTCCTATTTTATTTTTTATTGTTTTCTCTTTATTTCCTTCCTAATCTTAGCCCCGCCCTTTCCGTTAAACTCGAAACGATGCGCGAGGGCGAGGGCGAGGGCGGGGGCGGCTTGTGGCGCTGCTGCGTTAGCGCTTGCGACCCCGCCGCAATTTGCCGCCGGCGGTTCAGTACCGCGCACTGCGCGCAGCCTATCCGCGGTAACGCGTTCGCGCCGTGCGAGCGGGCTTTACTGCTGGGCCACCATTTTCACCGCACGCGTTTCACTGCGGTAAAGTGCAGTTCTTATTACACGGAACATGGCGGCTGGGATAGCCATAGCTACCGATAGTCTGTCTCTACGAATTTCGAATCTCTGTCGTCTTAGGGATAGCCATAGCCATAGCTACGGTAGTCTCTATGAACTTGGAATCTCCGCCTTTTTAAGGATAGGCATATATTAGCTTGTTTTTTCAACTGAACTATTCTTTTCCACGTTCTTCTATCTTTCACCGCAGTAAGTAGCTATTCCGACAAGAGCTTTACCGAGTTAAACTTCGTGTACAGCGGGGGCCAGGTCCCATTGGCGTGTGTTCTTCATTCTTGACCGCCGATTGTGGCGGGAATATACAGATCCATGGCCAGAAATGAAGAACAACATCTATCTACTGGGACTTGGCCCCGGACATCAAACAGCTTTATCGGTGTTTTTTTTTGTTTTTTGTCTTGTCCTCATGGGGGGACAGCTATATACAGTTTGTCACAGCCCCTCGTTTGTTGTCCTCTTCTCTCTCTCTGCCTACGGTTTACCGGGCAGTTCTGTTTGTGACGATATATATGTAGTATTTTTATTTTTATTTATCTATATATCTTCTCTCCTTTTTTTCTTTTTCTTTTTTCTTTTTTTTTCTTTTTTTTTTAATGAAAACATGGCTCTTATATTTCTCAAAAGCAATCGAGGCCGGGGACCCCACAATTCCACCCGGTGTTATCCTGGCCAGATCAGCCAGTTTAGCTTACAGTCAATAGACTGCGGATCAAACCTTGCATACTTCCAAAGACAATGAATCGCTGCTCAACTCGAACAGGTACTAAAGGAGGTTGCTACCTACCTGGGTGTATTATTTTATTGAAGTATATTCTAAACTCTAAGTCTTACCTTCTAGAGAAACTAACCGCTGTACTATCTAACTAAATAAACTAATTAACCCTATCCCTCAGTTACTACAGTAAATACACAGGCCTACATCTGACGGCCTGACCCCGGCCTGCTCCGACGGAGCGGAACCCAAGGTTCCTTCTACAGTCCTGGGCACTCTCCTCCCTACCCCACCCTTTGCGGCCTACTGCGGCCGCCGACCGGAACCGAGTGTCCTGGTTCTTAATCACAAAACCACCTGGCCAAGAAAGCAACCAACAAACCAACAAAAATTATTTAAACTATACTACCTCATCACTATCTACTTCTGCCACCAGTTAGAGAAGCGCAACCTGCTGCCCTCTGCAATCCACACCACGGCCTCATTCTGTGCCCAGGTACTCCTGAACCATCTCAGACCCGCTCTCATTGCGGTCTGCCAAAACCACCCACAGCAGTACCGCTCTGCAGACCTGGGCCACGTAGCCCCACCCTTTGCTGGGATCCAGTCCCGCTGGCAAAATTCCCAACAACACCCAGCGTTCTCCAGACAAATCCGGCCTCCCTGACCACTTCCTCCAATGTTTGAACCACCAATCCCACCACTTTCTGGATTTGGGACAAGCTCACCATAGATGGTGCATAGTTTCAAACAGCCAGTCACATCTGTCGCAGGATTCTTTAACGGACATGCCCCTCTTTCTCAACCATCTGGCTACCGGGACCGCTTGATGCGACTCCAACCACAGAAGAGAGGCCAGTCTTTGTGACGGTAATGTAGGAAGTTGTGACCATACCCCCTGAAGTTCTTTCTCTCGCGGTGGATCCAGGTGAGGGCATGTTCCTTCCCATTTGTCCACCGTATACTGACTGATAGACCGGTCTCTATCGTGCTGTTTATGGCCTACTGCTTCATCACCCTTCTCCAAGCCCCACCACTCTTACTCTCCATCCGGTTTCGACTCCAGGTTCATTCTGAGGCGGACACTCAGCTCTGATGGGTCTAAAGCTCGAGAGGCCATACACAGAGGTCTCTCTGATCTTCGTTAGCTCGGGCAGACCCGGAGTTAACCTTTTAAATACTGCAACCTTACACTTACCCGGTACCGTTTCATGCCAGTGTTCCAATCTGAGGAATTGCTCTCCTGGTCCTGACTGGTCATCAACCTGCCCTCGAAACCAACTGCCAATGTCTGGGACCCAATTTCCATCCAGCAACTCGCTCCAGCTGTGTGGAATGGCGTCTATCAGCTGCCGCCTCCTCTCCTGCTGGTTCCCTAGCATTCCTAGCGACTCTTTCAGTTTCTCCTCCGACTTCCATTGCCCTGTAGTCTGATCCCACAGGTCCCCCACCCTTGATACGCCCCTCTGAATCCACTTCATACCAAAGGAACCTGGTCTGGTGTTTGCGCTGAACATTTCCCATCTGCTCCCCGAATCCTTGGGTTTTCAAAGAGGTGCTGTCGGAGAACCTCTGCCCTATTCACTGGTTGTGCTGTCCTGTTGGGCTTGCAATTTTGCCACGCCAACAGAATGTCCTTCCAAAACTTCGACTTCAGTCTTTTGCAGAGGAATGCTTGGATCATGATGGCCACCCACATGTCTTTTGGTCGCGACAGCCCCCATTGTTCGCATAGTAATTCCTCTGCCAACACACACCAGTCAGCCTGTTGCTCTGCAGTAGCCACTTTTAGGATCCACTTGGACAGCAGTTTCAGGTTCTGAGAGTCTGGGTCTACGAGCGCCAAGCCCCCTTGTTCCTTTGGGGCACAGAGAGTGTCCCACGCCACCTTGGCAATGTAACCTTTTTCTTCTCCTGAGCCTGGTTTCCAAACGAACCTTCTTGCAAAGGCTCTCCCACCTTTGATCAGTGGTTTGGCCAGCCTTCTCACTTTCGCCATGTACCACAAGATAGAGAATGTCGAAACTGTTACAGCTAGGACTCTCCCTATTAACGAGAGATGCGGGGCTGAGCCCCAACTGCTTATCCTTTTGGCAACTCTTTCCTGGAGAATGGACGTCTACGAATTTGTACAGTCACCCAAGGCTAGCTGCACCCCCAGATACCTTTCCGCTTCGCCCTCTTGTACTCTCTTCATTCCCCATTCGACCTCGAGGTTGTATTCTGCAGGCAGATAGAAAATTGACTTATTCCAGTTCACCGCCGCTTTTGAAAGTTCTGCATATCGCGACAGGCAGTCTTTTAAGGCGTCCAAAGAGACCTTCTCATTGGCTGAGATGGCCAGCAGGTCATCCGCCAGGGCCTTACCTCTGCATTCTTTACCTCTGCGCAGTTTCAGACCCACCAGCAAAGGATGAGATCTGATACCGTTAAGCAGCACCTTTAACTGTACCACGAACAAGAGCGGGGCCAGAGGGCACCCTTGCCTTAATGAACGAGTCAATTTGAACTCCTTATTGTGCCACCCATTGACCTCCACTGCCGCTGTAGAGAAAAGGTACAGCGCTTTCAGGTTGTTACAGAAGCTGCTACCAAAATTCATCCTCTTCAGTGTCGTGAGAACGAAGGCCCAATTGACTCGGTCATAGGCTTTCTCCATGTCGAGCATGAGAACCGCCACGTCGACATTCCTGCTCCCAATGATTTCCAACGACTATATATTTTCTCTCACCTTACATATGGAACATATCTTTTTTTCCCCCTACCACTACTCCTAAGGCTATACCCCTGCAAGCATAGATTTCTACCTCTCTTGCTGAAGGGAGGTTACCTCTCTGGGTGGAGGGAGGTAAGCGTTGCCTTAGCGTTTAGGGTGCAGGGTTGGGGCTGCCGGTGGGGGCTCAAGACGGGATCTTTGAAGCTCCGATCTAGAGAGGAACGGTGCGGTTCGAAGGGCCGAATGTGTTGCCATATGTAAAGAGAGGATGAAGTTCTTCTCTTCTCTTGGAAGCCTCGAACTCGTTAAGCTTTAGACCGTGGATGACACGAAGAGAGTGGAGAGAGTTCATAAGGATAGTCTAAGAGTCAAGAAAAACATTTTTGGTCATGGCTCTCAAAGTTCCGCTGGACTCCATAGTTTACACTAAAGTAGCGATCAGGAGAATAATTGGTCTTATTACAAAAAACTACACTCCTATCAGAGACATATCCAAACTTACTTCTTGAACCTTAAGTACGATGTGGACCCGTAGTACGGAGAGAGCATGGTGGATAGGATCTAGGCGCAAAATGATAATGGTGATACTTGCGAACTGAAGATTATGTGTTCTTCTACCCCTTGGTGTGTGCAGATGATATTTTCATGAGGAAGATGCATGCACGACGAACTCGGCGGGCAGTAAAGGAGGACAAGGCGACCTTTTTTATAATCAACCGCTCCCTGTCAATGTTGGAGGCATTCATTTTTACACCAATAACCGAGTTTCACAGGAAAGTGGGCCTTCTGCCTCGCAACTACCAAGATCCTTCAACAGAGCGAATGTTAGGAGGGGCTAATACCGAGGCGAGGTATCTCCGTCTCAATCAAGACAATCGCGCCAATTATTAGGGAGAGCAAGATGGAATAACATCGAGGTTAAACAACCTCAAAATCCAAACTTTATTAAGGCAGCTTCCCCAGATGAACCTCTTGTTTCTCCTGTTCCACGATATCCAAGTGGCTTTGTTCAAGGAATTAATGGCAACCAATAGATCACTTACCAGTGGGGAAACCCTTAAATTCCTAATGGGTTCCTTAGGCAAATTTATGGAGGAAATACAATGGGTAATCTTATTCTGACATAACCGTTGTTTGAGCATCCACTTATCTTAAAACACCAATACTTGG